TACCGTATTTGCAATAGCACGACAGTCTTTCCCTTTTGAAAGATAACTGCAACTTTGAGGAAAAGGAGTATTTTTCATAGAGACCATAGCACTGGGAATGCTTTCACTCTATAATCCAGTTCTCACCCATCTCTAATAGGTGCTATTTAAAACAAAAACAAAAATTATAAGATACCCCAAATGTGATCATGCATTCAAAACAATGGCTAGCATTATCTTTACTGGGCATCCAATAACAACTTTCTTAAGGAATGTATGTGTATGATTCATGTGTCAGTCATCCGGGAAGTCTGATCTGATCTGTTACATCCCATATAGACTACTGCAACGCACTCTATGTGGGGTTGCCCTTGAAGACTGTTCGGAAACTTCAACTGGTCCAACGAGCGGCAGCCAGGCTGCTCACCGGAGCGACATACAGGGAACACACAACTCCCTTGTTGTGTCAGCTCCACTGGCTGCCAATCCAGTTCCGAGTACAATTCAAGGTGCTGGTTTTGACCTACAAAACCCTTTACGGTTCCGGTCCAGCGTATCTGTCCGAACGTATCTCCCTCTACGTCCCACCATGGAATTTGAGATCATCTGGGGAAGCCCTGCTCTCGACCCCACCACTATCACAAGTGAGGCTGGTGGGGACGAGGAGCAGGGCTTTCTCAGTGGTGGCCCCTCACCTGTGGAACTCACTTCCGGGGGAAATCAGAGCATCATCATCCCTCCTCTCCTTCAGGAGGAGGGTGAAAACATGGTTATGGGACCAGGCCTTTGGGCAACCAGGCAATTAAATTTTGGAATCCAGATGGATAGGGCTGACAATGTGCGGAAAGTAGAACCTAAACTATGAGTCTGTTAAACGCTGACCAGCAATGAGGTTTGTATTGCTTTTATTGTTTAATTGTTTTAATTGCTTTTACGGGTTTTTTGGATGTTTTGCCGATAATAATGACTGCTTATGTTAATTGTTATCATTGCTATAATTGCTATTGTTATTGATGTTATGTTTTTGTTGTCATGTAATGCGGGCATCGAATTGTGCCTTTTTGTGTAAGCCGCCCTGAGTCCCCCTCGGGGTGAGAAGGGCGGGGTATAAGCAACCGTAATAAACAAACAAATAAATAAATAAATAAATAAATAAAATTTTATGTGAAAAAATATTAGATTGTCCAGGATACTGAAAGGAAAGATGGATTATGTAGCTATTAAATAGTAATATGTCTTTGCTAACATATAATCTTTGTTTTTAGCACTAATGTGATCCAGATTCTAAATAAATTCAGGCATTTATTATAATAGAGATTTGATATTGTAGCATCTTCAATTCAGAAGGACATTATTTTCAGAGCGGAACAGTTATATTAGATGCATTTGGCTGAATAAGCTAGAAATCTTTTCAAGTCTCAACAAAAGGAATATTATGTCTGTCTAGTCCTTGGAGGAAAGGAGGAATGGTTTTCTTGGAAATGGATTTTGCTTAGCTCTCATATCGTTTGAATGCCAAAATGTCGCATTTAATATCAAAGCCCAGCTGATGGACAGCTTCTCTGTGTCTCCTGATCTTTTAATTGATTCTATTTTGTGGTTGTTTATTCATTTATATGCCTGGTTTATGTCATGTGTTATTGTTTTTATATGTTGATGTATTTTATTTTATGTGTTGTGCATTTTATTTATGGCACCTTGTGTGCTATTTTGTAAGCTGCCGCCAGTCCCTATGGGAGAAGGTGGCAGGGTATAAATAAAGTTCATCTGGGAACCCCACTCCTCCAAGGTCAACTGAACCACCTAAACTGGGTTCCACAGGCCAATGGATACTCCGCCACAGATGTCAGAAGAACTGCAAGGCCAAGAGCAACCCACGAGAGTACAGATAAAGATCCACCCTTGGGAAAAGTGTTCTTACCATACATCAAGGGAACCACTGCCCGCATAGGGAAGCTGATGAAGAAACACAACCTACAAACTATCTACAGACTCACTAAGAAAATCCAACAAATGCTATATTCAGCAAAGGGCAAGAGGGATCCTCTCACCTCTATAGGAGTCTACCATATACCACGCAGCTGTGGACAAGTCTACTTAGGGACCACCAAACGCAGCATTGCCCAAACAATGATAGGCACTGCAGACTAATTCATCCAGAGAAGTCAGCCATAGCAGAGCATCTGATGAACCAATGTGGGCACAAATTGAGAATACAGAAATGCTGGACCACTCTAACAACTACCACATCAGACCACCGAGAAGCCACTGAAATCCACAAGCATGTGGACAATTTCAATAGAAAGGAGGAAACCATGAAACTTAACAAAATCTGGCTACCAGTGTTAAAAAAACCTCTAAAATCAAGACAGTAAATAAATAGTAAAACTAAAAAAAACCCAGGGGAATTCCTTATATGAAACAATCTGGGCCAGCTAACACCTTCCAACAAAGAATTCCCCCAGGCAGGAAGCAGCCAGTTTTTGAAGCTGCAAGGCCATTCAAGGCTAATCAAGGTGGCCAATTGCAAGATTCACATTTGCCCCAAGCAGACAAGAGCTCTTTCTCCCACCCTGGACATTCCACAAATATATAAACCTCACTTGCCTAGTTTCCAACAAATATCAAAACCTCTGAGGATGCCTGCCATAGATGTGGGCAAAATGTCAGGAGAGAATGCTTCTGGAACATGGCCATACAGCCCAGAAAGCACACAGCAATCCAAAGTTTTATTTATTTATTATTATTACAGCAGGGAAACCCGTTCTTTAATTTCCACTGAATTAAGACTTCTTAATTGAGATCTCGGGACAAAATATGGCACACAATTGTAAAAGATGCCTAGAATAGTTGACTTATACATAAAGAGGTGGATATGGATGTTCTGTAAATGTCCTTCAGGTGCATCTACATAAAGTAAGTTTTTTTTACCTATTCCTTCTCACCTGCAGCCCCCTTAAAAGGCTGTTTAGAGACCTTCCAGAAATGCAAACTTAGGTTAAACTAGGACCTACCAGTTTAGTTTAACCCAATGCTTTTTATATATGAATGATAACAGTGTCACATAGGGTCATACTACATGACAAACTGGGAGAAGAAGCCCAAGATGACCTATATTGGGAAGAGTCTACCAAATAGCCTGGACTTGAATTTCAGGAGAATTCTGACTGATAGTCCATCATTTTCATCAGACAAAGAAACGTCTCTTCATGGGTGAGGGAGATTACTTGAGAAATTCTGCTGTGAGCTCTTTGGCACTTTTCGATCATTGAAAGCCAGAAGAAAACAGATACAGATTCATATTTGATCAAGAGCTAAGGGCAGTACCAGTTGGGCATTGCTGAGGGCATTCCAAGGAAAGTAAATTTAAATGCAGTGATCTGTACTGCTTTGTCCTTCATTCCTATTTTGGCACAGCTTTCATCCACTAAGCCAAATGGAGGCCACACAGCATGTATGGTGACTCCATGAGTCAGAAATTGTGAAGTCTATCAAGCATATAACAAGCCACAAACTATGCTAAGTTGGCTTTGTTTGGCCAGTAGATCAGTAGTTGCGGAGGATTGCCCAAATTCCGTTTTCAAATGGATATGCATATATAATGCTTTGAAATATTACAGACTACTTAGATACACAGAAAGTGTATCAAGTAAGTAAACTGCTGAGTACAGGAATCACAGTGTTTGGCATACTAGGTTAAGTAGGCTTCTAGACTGTTGGAAGGCAAAATATACAGTTTTTGGTCTCTGCTCAAAACTTGACAGATCACCATATTTGAGCTTAAGCAATTTCCTTCACCACTAATGGTCCAGTGCTCTTTACCATGTTGTTAACATGAAACAGGAGCTCTATATCTACCTTATATACTACTCATCCCTCTACAACTTTTCCTCAAAGAATCCTGGCTCTCAGGACACTTACGAATTAACTTCCCAAGATGCAGGAGTTAAGTGTCTATGTGTACAAGACACCAGTATGCCTCTGAGTCTGTGAAATGGTCAATGCACCATGATGTGTGTATGCTAAGGCAAGCTGGGAGAAGGGGAAGAAATCCATATCTTTTCCTATTCATATAGCTGGTACTCTCCAACTCCACAAAGAATCTCTTTTAGAAAAAGTAAAATCAAACTACATCCTTAACGTTTCCCCCACCCTCATTAAATATAGCTTGCACAGAAGTGGGGAGGAAATTATGTTAATGAAACATTTGATTATTATTTTAAATATCCTTTAATTTATGCAAACTGGTTTTTTAAAATTAGTTTTAGTTATTTATACTTGTGTACGTAAAACAGTAAAAAAGCTCAAATTGCAAGAAAATGCTTTAAGGCCTGTTTCCATTATTATGGGGTTATTCTTTATTAATGTGAAATCATAATGTGTACAGAAATTCTTTGAAATTCTCTTGATTGTGAAGATATATTCCCTGCCTTGTAAGGAGTTTCTTTAAAAAAATTACATTAGTATTTTTGCATATTAAATGGGGGAGGGGGAGTAGCTGGTGGTATTATTGCTATTATCCAGATTGAAATAGTGTTTCCTAAAACATAGTAACCAATAATTCTAGCTAAGAATAGTTTGCATGGATTTTGCTTTGAAAATGTCTTGAATTCTAGTTACATTATAAGGATGTTATACTTGTATTGTACAAGTTGCCATTTGAATATAGATCTAGAAACGTTTAATTGTTTTTGAATGTATATTTTCTGATTATATTTACATTGTTTCTGTCAAATAATAAAACATTTTTTTAAAAAAATAAGTGGGGAGGAAAACATAGTTAATACTTTGCCTATTCAAAGTGATACAAATGCTGAGCGTCTATACCACTGATTCTCAGCCTGTGGGTCCCCAGGTGTTTTGGCCTACAACACCCAGAAATCCCAGCAAATTTAAATGCTTATAACATTTTCTAGAATTGTAACATTCTTTATTACTTTCATTGGCATGAGTTTCCTAGGCTCTATTGTGAGCCCCCTCCTGTCTTAATGCATAAACATTTAAGTAGTTTTCTAGCTTACCAAGAGTTCGGAAAGGTCTCTGATTTGGTGTCTGAGAGAAGAAACCTGGCTTCAGGGCATTTGAAATAATGATGTCAAAAAGGTCTGCAAAATCATTCCTGTACCAATAAAAATAAATAAAAGTATGTTTATTTATTACATATTACAAGATAAAAGATTAGGTACAATTAGTGACATCACTTTCAAATCAGTTAAAGACTATAGAATTAAAATAAAAGCCATTATCAATTTTACCAAAAACTAACAACTTTACTAGGTTTAAAGTGCTCAGTTAAATATACATCTTATAAACTCCTTAAATCAAGAAATAGTTTTCTAAGATCTACAGAGACAATCGCTGGAACACCCCAGCAAGCAAGAGTCCAAAGTGGCAGGCTCAAACCCAGAACCTCAATCAATGGCTGATACTAAATGAGAGATCCCCCCCTGGGCACACAGAAGATTTGGCGACTTGGAAGGCACTGAACAGACTGTGCTCTGGCACCATGAGATGCAGAGCCAATCTTAAGAAATGGAGCCACAAAGTGGAGTCCACAACATGCGAGTGTGGAGAAGAGCTAACCAGAGATGACTTGCTGCAATGCAACCTGAGCCATGCCACATGCACAATGGAGGACCTCCTTGTGGCAACACCAGAGGCACTCCAAGTGGCCAGCTACTGGTCAAAGGACATTTCATCAACTATCAAGCTTGCAAAAGTTGTGTTTTGTCTGTCTGTTTGTTTGTTTTGTTAAAAATGTAATACAACTGTCTGGTTGCTCCTGAAACGATAAATAAAACTGATGTGGAAATGAATCCAATGTTGGTATCAGCATCAAGCGAGCCACATGCTGTAGGTTATATTGAGAGTTAACATTTTTATAGATACCTGACCCCAAGTCAGCTTCCAGCCGCATTATTATTACACAATAAGGTCATTGACATTTGGCAGAGAGAAAAAAACCCTACCCTTTCCTCCCATTCACCAAATGAAAGTTGCTGCTACACTTAGATTTTGGTGGAAATGGTTGCATACAATAGATTCTGCTATCTAACAGGGCTTTTGCTGTATATGAAAGATTGTAATTGTTGAATAATTTTCTAGCCTTTAAACACTTTATTAATCTTCAGGCTACGCAGCAGAAGTGAGCACCAATATTTTTATTAACTCTGGATTACATTAAACAAACAGCAGAGATTGTCTTCATTCCAATCAGGAAGGCCTTTCATCTTAACAGTTCCATAAAACAAAATATACATAGTTTGTACAATATATACACAGTGTCTCCTCTTTTTACTATACTTACAGTATAATCTTTACTGTGTCTTCAATCTTAAAGTAACATTTGGTCCACAAGTTCACAGAATCAAATCAAACGCACCAAACTCTCTTCTATAAATCCACAACCTCTATCATTGGGAAGCACTAAACACTCCACGATCCCTGGAAAGCCCCCCTGCTGTGGTTGCTTGCTTAATCTATATTCTTCTTTAACCATTCACCTGCTGCATTACACCAGCCCCACTGCAGCCTATTAATTGCTTACAGGTCCCATTCATTACTGTGTGGTTAATAATAATAAATTTATTTATATCCACCACCATCTTCCCAAGGGGACTCGGGATGGCTCACACAGTTTTTACTCAGAACTTAGGTACTGCTTAGTCACTTCTGACTTTACAATTAACCATGAATCTGCCAGGTAGTTTACTAAACTTTAACAGTGATCCCCTTATTTAAATTATAGCTGGCTGAGATATTTAAAAGGCACAGCTGAGTATCCATTTTCAGCCAAAGTAAAGGTTAAAATCCTGCCAAGCATGAGCCAGGGCTGGACAAAGTGCACTAAATTGCCTGCCAGTGGCCCTCAAGATTGTTCTACAGAACTTTCAAAAGAACTTCTGACAGATTTCCCACTTCAAACAGGGAGATAAGAAAATATTGTTTCTCCACTTAGAAGCTTCCAGGAGGAGCGGTTTTGTGTACAGTCAGTCCCCAAGTTACAGACAAGATAGGTTCTGCAAGTTTCTTGTTAAGTTAAATTTGTATTTAAGTCAGAACACATACATTTTTGAAATTTAACTCCAGCCCAATCTTTCAAAAAAATATTTTTGAATAGCATAGGCAAGGGTTAACACCCCTGTAACATTTGTTTTGCTGTCTGTGCCCCTGTTGTGGCCTATGGAGAATCTTAATAGCCCAGAATTGACACCAGGCCCTCCTCACTAGCACACACTTTTTTTGCATGGATGGGACATATACAGAGACTGAGCTGTGCCTCAACATTTGACCGTGCAAAAAGTTTCATGCTAGCCTGGTAATGAATATGTTTACAGCAACTGAGAAAAACTATAAAAATGACACAAATGGATGCTGCTGTGCCTAATTTTTTAATAAAGAAATAAATCCCTGATCTTGAACAACAACAAAATGTTCCAGTGAAATTGGATTTAATATCATTTTGTTGCCTTGAATTGCTGCTTCTGAATATAGCACTCTATGGAAGCATTTGAGTAAAAACAAAATAAATGAGAAGCATCAATTGAAAGATATTCCCTGAGTATCCTGATTTTAGCTCTCATCAAGTGTGTAATAGGTGATATTGCCCTATATTATCTTTTTATACATTTTTGATACTCTGAAGTAGTCAGTTGCTACTTTTTAACATGAATTACCATTGCTAGGATCAGTAATGCAGAGGTTTCCATTAAACAACTCCTTAAGGATATGTTATACTTACCCTAAGGTGTGCTCACATAAAAGTCTACAGTAGTCACTGTGGGAGCTAGTGATTAAAAGAAGAATCTTCCCATTGTCTTTCAGTCTTCTTAGCCACTTTTTCACAGAATCAGGACAACACTGGATATATTTTTCTGGATTGCTTTTCACCTCTGGAAAGTATGTCCCACAATTGTCTGGAAAGTAAAGGATAAGTTACATGAATGTACCATCTGCTTGATTACTACTCTGTTTTAATAACTGTCTCAACAGCTTTCCCCCAATCAAAAACTTTTAAAATTCTTCAAAATTTAATAACACATCTGTCATAAACATGCTACAGAGTAGTGGTTCTCAACTTTGGTCCTCCAGGTGTTTTGGACTTCAGCGCCGAGAATTCCTAATACCTGGTAAACTGGCTAGGATTTTTGAGAGTTGAAGTCCAAAACACCTGTAGGACCAAAGGTTGAGAACCACTGCTAGAGGATCCACAATAAAATAACATTTATAATCTACTAAAATTAGCATAAATTATGGTATGTAAAAAAATCACAACCTTAAAAATTGTGATGTGCTTCACTGACTTGCTCATTGGGGAGGGGGCATCAAAACTAAAATACCATATTTCATCACATAATAGTCGCGATCACATTATAATCACACACCCATTTGGGGTCCTGGCTTTCATTTTTAAATATTCTTTGAATAATAGTCATACCCTTAGGTCATGAATGTGACTACAATATGAGGGGGCAACACCCAGAGGGTTGCTTTTGGCAAGGTAACCCTCCTTAGTTCTCAAAGGGAGAGAGCTGCAGGGCCTCCCTTGGCTGGCAGCAATGGGTGGCTTTGCAGCTACAGGTTTTCCCTTGCTTGGTGGCTAAAGGAAGCCCCCATAGCTGCAAAAATAACCTTCCTCAAGTAATAGTTGAAACCCCCTCTTTTTTTAAAAAAAGGAGGAAAGTGTGACTATTATGCGATGAAATACGCATAATCTAATACCCATATTGGTTCATGTACATCCATAGGTTCAAGACATTTGAAAATAAAAGTGAGATTGCATCTAATTGTCTAGGGCAGTAGTTCTCAACCACTACATCCCAAGGTGTTTGGCCTACAACTCCCAGAAATCCCAGCCATTTTAACAGCTGTTAGGAATTCTGGGAGTTGAAGGCCAAAACATCTGGGGACCCACAGGTTGGGAACCACTGGTCTAGGAGATTATGAGAACTGTAATAAAACTTTTTCAAGCTTAGTTTTATTTTGAAATAAAGACTTCTGGAGAGGCTCTTCTCTTGCTAATGCCCATTCGCAAGTGCGACTTGTGGGAACGAGGGAGAGGGCCTTCTCTGTGGTAGCCCCTCAGCTCTGGAATTCGCTCTCCAGGGAAGTTAGGCAAGCCCCCACCTTGGCAGTTTTCAGGAAGACTCTGAAAACTCGGCGGTTCCAGTGTGCCTTTAATGAATGAATGAATGAACAATAATACCCTGACCTGGCCAATCCCTGCATAAATGCCCTCGGAAGCACTTTATTTTACCTGTTAGTGCAATTAAGCCCTACTTCATCCCTCAGACCCCCCTTTCCAGATACATTATATTGCCCTCTCACCCAGTGTTTTAAAACTTTTAATCCTTGCAACCGGCCCTGCCCACTATGATTAATTCTCTGTGTTCAAATATTGTGATTTTATATGGTCTGTTGTGTTTATATATAATGTCTCTTGTATTTTATTTATTTTTTTATATATATTTTACTGTTGTATTCTTATGTTGTACATTTGCATTGCTGTACTGCTGGAGTTGGCCTCATGTAAGTCACCCCGAGATGGTGGCAGGGTATAAACAAAGTATTGTTGTTGTTGTTGTTGTTGTTGTTGTTGTTATTATTATTATTATTATTAAATAGTTTTAGCACCCAATCCAATTTAGCAGCTCCTAAAACCCCTCACAGAATCTCATGTAATTTTCTGTCTTAAAACTTCATCAAATCGCTAAAAACTTCCCACAAATATAGTGATAACATTTTTCCCAATTCACAGAATATGCAAGCCTTCCAACCTCTCATTTTCAGCTGTGAATTGGGAAAAAACAGTGAAAGAAAACGTTACATCACTTCTGTTGCATCGGGATGCTACCACAATCCAAGGCAGTAAAAATTTCCCACTGCCCAAAATCTTTCCCTAAAAGTAGAACTTACTCAACATTTTTGAATGAATACAGTTTGACACCACTTTAACTTCCCCACGGCTTAATGCTATGGGATCCTGGAATTTGTAATTTGGTGATGCTGCAGCACTCTTTGGCAGAGAAAGCTAAAAATCTTGCAAAACTACAACTCTTACAATTCCATAGCACTGAACCATGGCAATTAAGGTGGTGTCAAACTGCATTACTTCCATAGTGTAGATCATCCAAAGATCACTTAAATTAAAATATAGACAGAAGTTCTCAAGTGGTCATAACCCTACATTTAACAGCTAAAATTCAGGAAGTGAACTTTATCTTACAATAGAAGATAAACGTTCAGTACACTGCAAGCAAAAACACACATGGATGAAATTTTGGGGATTGCTGTTCCTTGTTAAGTCCTTGAATCAGACTTTGAAAGAATTTCCATTGGCTGCCAACAACATGCACTACTGCTTGCAGCAAGTAAACTACATTTTGCCATTATTTCACTAAACCCGCCCCCTCCACTAAATATCTGTGGTCAGCTTCACTGAACGATTTACCAAATCCTAGACATTACTTTTCTGTGTGGAATGTGCACAGTGCTTCTCCTCAGATCAAAACAAAAACAAAGATCTAAGCCTTTTAGCCTTCAACTATTTCGTGAGCCGAAGCAGAGCAGTATTTCAAACTGCAATATCTGTTGGGAATGAAAAAGTTTTGGCAGTTGATTTAAAGTCAGATGCTCCAAAGCATTTGGATTTAAGCCCATGGAAAACCACTAATTTCAATAGGATAAATAGCTCAAACTCAGTGGACTTCTAAATCTTGGCCAACTTGTGGATCTAGCTTCCAAAGTAATAACTAAAATATTGCAGAAGTATTGCACAATAAGTGCATCTGCAGCAACTGGAGGAAAAGATTAACTTTATTATCTTGCGTTGTAGGAGGAACTAGCTTCAAAAGAAAATTATTTTGAAGTTAAAACAACTGTTGTTTTATTTCTGTTATATGTCATTCGACACAATTATCTTGTAGTATTTAAATTTAAATGAAATTATTTTATTTTTTTAGGTATAGTTTGAAACTTTAGGTAAAGTTTGTGAGAACTAAGTTTATGAACCACACTGTTTCTGCAACAAAATAAACATGTATTTGAGAGTGAGATTATGTTGCCACAATCTGTGTTCTACATCTCTTCACTCTTTATTCTGAGAACTAGTCAAAATCTGCAGCTTCTCAGAAAAACAAATGAGAATGTATATCTTCTATACTTTTAAACCTCTTCCATTGAGGATCAACTTATTTGTGGATTTTGTAGCAAGTTTAGAAGATTAAATAACCAATTTTTAATGATGGTAGTTATTTTCTTAATGTACCCACCTTTAACAGTGACGGAATCAAAAACCACAGAATGAGCACAAGTATACAATTACAGTTCTTTTGATTAATCTGAATGGGTATGATTTGAAACCCTTTCACATTACAAAATTATGGTGCTCAGATTCCATTTTAACTTCCAAAGCAGCAACCCAGGGAAGAGTGCAATTTGAATTTAGGAAGCTCTATCAACAATCCTTGGGATAGAGCTTCAGTTGAGCCCCCCTTTCCCCACCAATCCTTGTTTTCACAACAAGCCATTTTTTCAAAATCCATTAATCACAGGGACAGAAAGTGAAGTGAAATCTTTTGAACAGAGGCACAGACAGCAAAACAAGCACCACAGGAGTGTTAACCCTTCCCTAAGATTTCTGCCAACCTAGCAGTTCAAAACATGCAAATGTGAGTAGATCAATAGGTACCGCTCTGGCGGGAAGGTAATGACGCTCCATATAGTCATGCCAGCCACATGACCTTGGAGGTGTCTGTGGACAATGATGGCTCTTCAGTTTAGAAATGGAAATGAGTACCAACCCCCAGAGTAGGACACAACTGGACTTAATGTCAAGGGAAAACCTTTACCTTTTAAGATATCCAAAGCGAATCTATCTATCTATCTATCTATCTATCTATCTATCTATCTATCTATCCATCCATCCATCTATCTATCTGGGGCTACACTTAAAAATGTTCCAATTTGTAAACAAATCTACAAAATCTATTTTTTTTGTATAACTGTGCGGCATGAAACAACCCCAGGTAAGCCACCTTGATACGTTACTACCATGGACTCCTTCTTTGAGTTTGTCACTGAAAAAATGGGCTGCAAGCAATATAATAATATGAAAAGAAGGAAACTAAAAATATAGTGTAAGTAAATGGTCGGACTGAACAAAACTAAAAACATGTGATTTGGCTGGCTGTGATATCTGGACCATTTCTGTCCAAACAGCGACTTTCCTTTGCAAACATGGTCTCTATTAAGGTCAACAGAAGCAAGAGCTTTGCACGTTCAACAGAACTGGCATGCAGAAATACTTTTAGCGAAGAGAAGCCCAAACTGAGTCACAACGTCTGCATGCTCACCATCAAATGAAGACAAAAGGCTGTGCATTTTTAAAAAGGCAATGAGGCCTCACAAATAGCCTATGACTGTCATTTACTGTGCTTTGAGAGACATGATTTCATTTTTACTATTTAATAACTATAGCTATTTTGATCTCCACAACTGTAAAAAGGTGTCATCTTATGGAAACTTCATGTAACATACAGACTGTCTGTATCCAGACATCCAAACCCTGGGCCAACCATAATCTCATCTTAAAAATAGTTTGGACAGTCATATTGTACACTTGATTCCAATGATGTTCACAGATTATTTCCATTTAGCCAAACAGGTTTCAGTGCTAACTGTACAGCGCATAGCACTTAAAACACTTTGGAAATGTTTAGATCATTAATGTCTTAAATCATCTCAAACTTCACCGATGCAAAGGGCTTCGTTGTCCCTCAATGGGAGGAGGCAAGAGCAAGCACTGCAAGCAACTGCTCGGTATGAAGCCAAGAGCTCCAGGCAGCTCTGGCTACATCAGCCGTTCCCCCAGCCAAGAGCTCTGCCACAGGAAATATGGACCATCTGGCAGAGGTTT